TATTCTGTTATAATAGAAACAACAAAATCTGATGGTTTTGTTTTTGTTTTGACTCCTTGGGAAAAATTTTTTAAAACTTGGAGCTTTGTCAGCTGACATTAGAGTAACCCCCCCTCTGGGCTATATGGGTCAATTCATCCCATTCTGTAGAGAATTAATATATATATTTAACAAAATAGTTCTTCCAAACAAAGAACATATGGAGAAGTAGCTGCCCTATTGACCATTGGACTCTGTAGTGTGGATTAGTACTACATGTACATAGTCCATTGGAGAGCTCCAAAACAGCACGAGTACTGGCTGAATAGTTTTGCAACCACAACTCAGTGTATAGATACACCTTTCTGGTAAAGAAGATTGAGTGCAGTCTCTTTCTGAGATGAGTTATCAAGGGTGCTTTCTCTCCCAAGGGCATAATTTATCATCCACTTTTCAGTTCCTCCTGTTTTGGCATTGATAAGACAGTATATGTCTGCTACTGATTCGCCTTTTAAATTTTGAGGCAATTGACCAAAAAGGGCTGTACATACAGTTTATCTCAAGTGACTGTGCAGATAGGAAGGGTTTTCTGTGTACATCTAGCACAAACACTTTTCTCCATCAGTTTTTGTAAATCTGATAAAGTGTACTCAACCTCTTTGCAACTGATGGTCCCAAGAGACTCATTGATTTTCCTTATAGCGAGCCTTCTGCTTCCCACCATGCTAACCTGCATTTATTGTACAGACTCCAGGGTTAGCCAAGTCAAGGACTGGCAGTGGGAAGTTGAGAAGGAATGGATTTGACTGTGTACAGCCACACTTTGCACTATGTAAAATGTGGTGTTCAGATAGGATGTGAAAGTTGCTCAAATTCACCTGGATTTCTTGTTCCTGTCAGGCTGGTCTTAATTTGTTACTATTATTGAGAGCACTGACAGTGGGCTTGGCATTGTACAAAACAGAAAGGTATTAAGAACAGAGTGCATCTATGAGGCTATCATCTCAGCTAACACATGTAAGAATAGTCCCACTGAAGCCAATGTAGCTAGGTCAGTTTGCACCAGCTGAAGATCAAGTCTAGAATGTTGCATGTACATAGAACAACCTCATCAAGTTGTAGGATTTTTATAATTAAATGACTCTGTGGTTATGTCTCCAGTACAAATTGTTTGAAATGTTAAGTAAAAACAAACACAAAATAAGCAGTAAGAAATTGATAGATGCTTTTCATAGCAGACAAATAGTATTTCTGGGCAGATGGAAGAATTAGTTAATTGGTAATGGGACTCGCAGATTTTCATTGCTATGTCATGGCAAGCAGTTCAAAAATTTTTACCAGGGTGGTAGAGACCAGAAATGTGTTGCCTTTTGTTCTTCTGTGTGATATGTGTTTCATCTCCTTCAAGTTTCCAATGACAGATAATCACCTCACATAAACAAACAAACAGAAATCAACCTGCTAACAAAGCGGACGGATCTGCTGCATAAATTTCTGTTGAATTGGTTCTGCTTTTTCAGAAGTTTAAAAAAATTATATACACCTTCCTTACCCTAGTGTACTGATAGAAGTTTTGAAATATATATTTGCATAGTAAATTTGACCATTCATTTTTAAAAATAAAATAAGATTTGTGGGCACTTACGCACGTTCTTCCTCCATTCCCTCAGCATATCTCTGTAGTATTAGGCATTTCTTACTCCTGCTCTAAACTAAATGTTAGCAGGAGGGCGTATGATATGAGATTTGAGTAAATATTTTTTGCAGATGGCTCTCAAAATAAGACGGTGGAAGTGTGGGCCCAAATCTTTGCACACAGTTTGCCCTTTTGCTTCAACATGCCTCCTATCCAAAGGGGAAAATAAATAGAGCTGTGTGAAGAAAGGAAATTCTGTTTTGTGATGTATTTTCATATTTTAAAATTTTGTTTAGGAACAGAACCCTCTAACTTTGAAATCCTCCAAAAAAGAAAGCCCTCGATCCAGAACCCTAAGGCAATCTGCCTAGATGGCTGTTCTGGCATCACAGCCCTGGGGTCTCAAGGAAGTTTACCTGGCGATCTTAGATTGCTGGAGCCTAGAAACATGAGCTCTCCTGCACCAGCCTTTGGTGAACTAGACAGTATCCAATAGGAAGCTGCCTGACATGCAAGTTTCTAGATAGGCTTGGTTTCCAACAGAACTTCATCAAAATCAAACAATCTCCACAAAACATTTTGCTTTTAAATTCCTACAAAAATATTTTGTCTGAGTTTTATAGCCAGCTATAATGGTAAGATACCTATCCTAAAAGTTCAATGTTGTTCACTTTACTGTTGAGCGTAAAGTAGGAATAATGCTAGGTAAGCACAATTTTCTCCCTGATGAAAATTCACCCCCATACAAAAGAACTGAACAAAGGCTCATTGCATTTTAAGTTCCACATCAAGGGCTTTCGTAGGCGAATTTCACCCCCTGTGAACTGTGTTAATAAATCACGATTCAGAACGCCTACTGGGAAAAGTCTATAACTTCTGAGAAATCGCTATTCTTTTTTCCTTTCATGAGTTTTACAAGGCCCCATTGAAAAGCATTCTAACTACATTTCTGTTACATACTCTAATGTCTTTTAAAATGAAAATTCTTGAACTTTCAAGAGCATTCTTTTTGAGGGAAAGGAGTGTGCACTCTATAATGTCGATGTTAGTTGCTTCCAGATGTTTTAGCTTAGGCCTCCTCATTTTATGGTGAATGCTTTCCCCTTTCCACAAGCATTAAAGGGAACACTTCTCACTTACCTTTGGCTGGAGGGCACAACAACAAATTATCATTCAGATATGCAGGAAAAAATTACACATAAAAGGTGTGCCTCATTTTTTTTAAAAGTACATAGCAATGAGTCCAGCATGACTGGTGCATAGCTGACTGTTCCCATAACATGTATTAAAAAGGGAAAATACTATAATTATCAAAAATATGTATTGTACTGAGAGAATGAAAGTACTCAGTGGTTGGAAAAAACAGAATGAGAGAAACAAAGGGTTACTGTTTCAGCACAAAGTGCAGAAGAATGAATGTTCTCATTGACCAATAACTGGTGCTGTGCACCAAACATCCATGCATCCCCATGGAAAATACTATTGAAAGGCGGAGCAGGAGTGTTGAATGCATTGCTCTTGAATGTGTATCCCTAACAAGAGCCAAAGGTAAGGTAGGGTTAATAAGTCACTCTTGTATCCAGAAGCATAGCCAGAACATTTTAAATTGCACTAAAGGATATTTTAGGTTCACTAAAACAAAATAAAAATTTTCAATGAAAACTGTATATTGAAATCTCTAAGTAGAAGGTATATTTGGCCAATGGATGCATGTAAAAATGCCCAGTGGAAATAATATTACAGCCAGTTTTTAGAATATCGAATAGAATCTTTTTGAAGATAAATTAATTGTTGAGTGTTACAAGTCACTTTGGTGCAAGTTCTGTCCATTCTTGCATGTTGTAGAAGGCAGAATGAGAACACAATAACTCCTTCACTACCTATATAGGCATTCAAAGAATCCTGGGGCGTGTGTTCCCAGCTTAGACTCCCAGTGTGGCGTTGGATACGTCATTGTAGGATCAGTATTTTCAAAAGTGTCCACTTATTTTGAGAGGACTCAGAAGTGTCTCACAGTGAATACCCAAAATTAGTTAACACTTCTGAAAATATGGTTTTCACTTCCTGGGGTCCTCACTAAAATTGGGATAGTATCTCATCGCATCACAGCACTGTTGTGAGAATGCATTACAGGTTGTATGTCCCTTAACTGGGACTCTCTGGTCTGGCAACATCCATGATCCAGAAGGTCCACAGATGTTCCTGGACTACAGAGCCCAGGTTTAAAGCGGCCTGGCCATGGGACCGGAGTGCAAAGGAGAGAGCTGCACCATGGGGGGGAAGTGGGCAGCCCAACAGGGAAATCAGGCCCCAACAATTGGAGTAGTAGGAGGCCAGCAGCAGCCATCCAGTTGCGGTACTGGTGGCAGCCAGGAAGCTCCAGCCCTAGTTGCACAGCTTTGGCCCCGGCAGCAGCTAGGGAGCGCTGGGTCTGACCATGCAGCTCTGGCCCTGGCCGCAGACCGGCATCTCCAGCCCTGGCCATGTGGCTCCGGCCCTGGTGGCGGACAGAGCACCGGCCCTGACAGCACATCTTCAGGACTGGCGGCAGCGGGAGCTACAAAGCTCCAGCCCAGGGAGCAACCAGGCAGCAGAGGAGGCTGGAGCCTTCAGAGGAGGGGTGAGAGGGAGGCGGTAGCAGTTTAGCATGTGCCAGGAGGGGAGAGACCTCCCCTGGTCTGGCAAATCCCCTCATTCAGGACCAGGTCCCAAGGGTGCCAGACCAGAGGGTAGCATTCAGAGACCCCAGTCAGGATTAGGTCCTTGTTGTGTTAGCTGCAGAACATATCCTTAAGAAAACACAATCCCCACCTCAAAACAGTTTACCATCTAAATATGGCCTTAATTTACAAACTGGAAATGATATGTACAGATGACTGGCAAGTGTTTGATATAGAAATGGCTGAAAAGATTCCTCACAAACACACATCAGGTATGTCTAGCTAAATTTCTAATTTCATTGGTCCAGGCATTGTAGGACCATATTATATACTCATCCATTTGTCTAAATTCTTATGGAAATACCCATAGTATTGGATTTCTGAACTAACATGAAGCCTAATAGACAGCATTCTTCTTATAAGCATGTTCCTATTGTCACAGAGAGATGTAAAGTAGGAAGGTACCATGATTTCTGAAACACAAAAGGGATTATTACTTGAATGGGATTAAAATGGCAGTCAGACTGATAAGTATGAGGACAATGCCTCTGTCTTTTACTGAGATTTGTTACTTTGGGTAGATGTTCCTTCTGACCGGTGACATGATGGTAAAAGGAACAATTCACCTTAGAAATCTAGGATACAAGAACAATTAAAATATGTTTTATTTTGTCAGAATTGAGAGCCCTAACCTGATTTATTATATGCTTTACATTCAATTTTAGGTACCAAAGGAAGAAACAAAGGGGAATTTACAAATCTTCAGGGAGTAGCTGCATCTACAAATGGAAAAATATTAATTGCAGACAGTAACAACCAGTGTGTACAGGTATTACATCCCTTTTAATATTGGTATTTTACTGTATTAAAGAGAAGCCTTGTAAGATACAAGCATGGGTAGAAAATATAGAGAAGCCTGCTTTCTCAGAATTCAGGATCACTCTCATTTTTTTAAAATATAGTAGCAGTTTGAAATTCATATCAGATCTGCAGATAGTTGCTTCCTTTTGTATTATATTTGAATGAATATAAAGTTGAGATTGATCAGTAGTCATATTAGAAAAATATTGACTTTTCATTACACGTTTATATTGCTTTAATTATGTTCCCAAATAAAATCCAGAATAAAGTGCCCAAACTTTCCTTTTCCATAATCTGATTTTGAGGAAATACAAGAACTAATATAGGTTTTATTTTTCAGCTTCACATTAGTCTAATTAATTAACTCTCTTCTGTGGTACTGTAAGCCCCAATGACCACAATAGCCTTTAGGTGTTCAGATCAAGCTGGATGGGTGAGCGGATAGTGCTTCTCCTCCTCCCCCTTTTTCTTCCACTATTAAGGATTTTTCAGCTCCATTCTGACTACACACATGGCTGAAGATGAATGAAACATAGTAGAATAGTTTCTTCTTCCTTGAGAATATTAGATTCACAGAGCCAACTGCAGTAAAAATTTTGTTTTATATTAGTGAACTATAGAGATTTTTAAAGAGACATGGGATCAGATTTCACCTGTCATTTCTAAACATGTTCTTTCATGAAATGTGAGTGCAAAACTGTAAGTGTAGCCACAAGTGGAATTTTAGTGTTTAATTACTTGACAGATGGTGGATTAAATTCTGAGAGGTGATAAGCACCTCAGCAGATATTTACCTCTAACATTAGATGTTGAAATTCTATCCTAGGTTCTGTCCCTATCTCTTTCATAGACTTTTTGTGCAATCTTGGCCACGTGTTTTTGTGCTTCATTTTCTTATATAGTTTGGGAATAAGTGCACATCTTTAGCTCAGAGAAATGTTGTGAAGACAAATTCACTAACGTCTGTAAAGCATTTTGAGATTGTTGCAAGAATGGTGCAATGTCAGTGCAAAGTACTACTTCAATATAACTTGAGGGTCCTGGTTGAGGCCTCTCTGTAAACTGGATCCAGAGGTTTCACATACATGCAATCACAGTGTTTCATTTTTACAGTCTGACTGTAACAATATTTCCTGTGCTTTACATTTATTTTTCTGTTTGCCAAAGACCAGGTCATGAAAAATATATTACCATGATTCATATAGAATAACTTTTTTAAATAAACATTCTTTCTCACAGATATTTTCCAATGATGGCCAGTTCAAAAGTCGTTTTGGTATACGTGGAAGGTCTCCTGGCCAGTTACAGAGGCCCACAGGAGTGGCTGTGCATCCTAGTGGGGACATCATTATTGCAGACTATGATAACAAATGGGTTAGCATATTTTCATCAGATGGAAAATTTAAGGTAAGGCTATAATATGAAGCTTTGATGGTTTTACAAGTGAATATGTTCGTGTTGGTTCTGTTTCACATCTCCAGTTCTTGAAACTAATTATTCTTTTCTAATGCATTCTTTTCTTGTGGAAAGCCATGATTCACCTAAAATCAAATTTAATAAGAAATAGGAAAAGTCAAAATTGAGATACAGAAGAATTATACTTTAAATACAATTATTATTCACTAGGTTCTTGGGTCCTACAACTTCAGAATTTCAACAATAATACACAGTGTCAAACTCCAAACAGTTCCTCAGACATATCAGTAAGTAGTCATCAGTAATTTAAGACTCTGAGGGAAGGCTAACTGATCCTTCGTAGCCCACTTTATAGCTAGTAGGCCACAACTTAAAATGAGTTGAGACCTTCAAATGGTAGTTAGAGGACGAACACATTGGCTGTGTCTAGACTGGCAAGTTTTTCCTCAAAATCCGCTGCTTTTGCGGAAAAACTTGCCAGCTGTCTACACTGGCCGCTTGAATTTCCGCAAGAACACTGACTTCCTACTGTAAGAAATCAGTGCTTCTTGCGGAAATACTATGCTGCTCCCGTTCGGGCAAAAGCCCTCTTGCGCAAATCATTTGCGCAAGAGGGCCAGTGTAGACAGCACAGTATTGTTTTGCGCAAAAAAGCCCCGATGGCTAAAATGGCGATCGGGGCTTTTTTGCACAAAAGTGCATCTAGATTGGCACGGACGCTTTTCCTCAAAAAGTGCTTTTGCGGAAAAGCGTCCATGCTAATCTAGACGCTCTTTTCCGCAAATGCTTTTACCGGAAAACTTTTCCGTTAAAAGCATTTGCGGAAAATCATGCCAGTCTAGCCGTAGCCAGTGACGGGTGGCAAAGAAAGAACACAGGAAGGTCTGCAATTTGGCATTTGGCTCCTCAAAAGGTGCATCCCACTCTGTTTATTACCTGCATGTCAGCAAAGAATATTTGTAATTCACCCATTGTCCTATTGGCAGGCAGTGCAAAGACAGTAGGACAGGTGTATTATCTTCACAAAAGATTTCCACAGTGCTGTATTATGGGCCATATTTTGTACTTGTTGGCGTGCAGCCATCCCAGATTGGAGAGAGTTACATTATTTGATTAACGCTCAAATGGGGCCTAGCAAAATCTCCAATAGAGGGAAGGGCAAATTCTATAAAAGTTATGAACTTGCTAGAAACACATCTTACTTTTTCTTGTCCTACAGTTCCTTGTGATCAGTGTGTAGTCATGAAGAACCACTAGTTCTGATCTGGCACTGGTAAAATCTGTTATGTGCTGTCTACATATAGCAAGACAAACTGGGCCTTTAAAGTTTGACCAAGAAAATCTCTTGTGGGTCATGTACTCCAATTGCTTAAGAAAAAATATTTATGCATGTAATTTTTTTTTCTTCTCAGTGAAATGAAGTTTATAGTAATATACTGCTTATGTGTATTTGAGTGCATGTTGTTATTCTCTAATGGACAGTACATGGAAATAAGGACATACCATCAGTGCTAGAAAGAGGTTTTCTCCTTTCCTTCAAGCAAAAGAGGCTGTGGTCTTGTCCCACCTTCCTGTGATGGTTATGTAAGGACTGATTCTGCAGTCATTATTCACATTAAGTAGTTCTTTTCTCATGCATGTAGGCTTCCACTAGACTTCAAATTGTCCAGTTTAGCACATGTCAAAGGCAGGCACCTTGTCTATATTAGACTCCTCATACACATTAATTAGCATCACACCTTAAGCCCTAGGTTAGATAAAGCCCTGTTGATTTCCAAGGAGTTATTTAAAAAGTAAGGTTACTAGTCATCAAGGGTAAGGGTGGCAGAATTTGCCCACCGTAAATCAGATACTGTTCTTTGTAGAGCATACTTATTACAATAGGTATGTTTCTGTGCTGCATTTAAATAACATACATAGGACAAATAAAGAGGCAGGAAAAACCTTTAGGTTTGAGAGAGCAATGATTACTTCTGGGAGTGGTGAGCCTGTTATCCATATAGGTTATCGTGCTGTTAAAAGGAACAGAGTGAAAAGTCAGCTAATGCTTTAGAAAACAAGGGGCTGTTTGCTGCAGGAATTAGAACCAGGAATCTTTGCTTAGCAGGTGATGTACTCAGGGTCAGGTAGAATTGGAGAGAATTAAAAGTCTTACTCTTAAGTCTGAGATGGAATCTGTGGGATTGAGTCAGATGCCAGTATGTTCATCAGTCACATAAAAAACCTGCTGAGAAACCACTTACATACTTATTCATTCCCAGAGTCTGGCTTTGGAGCTTAATTTTCCATTTTGCTTTTCCTGGCAGTTAACAACCCAAAATCTCAGGTCCTGAACTCCTCCAGGTGGCTAATAACTGGGAGGAAATGCCTTCCCTTTGTCTGCTATTCACTGAATAACTCATTCTATGGCAGATAGCTATAAGCTCTTCAATGAGACCTCTTTTAGCAAATTGTGCAGTAATGTTACAGTGTGTGCAGCTGTGTTTCCTACCTATTGTACTTTTGCCTGAAGATCAGTAATGAATCAATTGTTGATTTTTTTCTAAAAAAGTAACTGATCTGTTAAAGAAACAGATATAGAATGTCTCTAGGTGTGTGCATGAAATATGAGGTACAGGCAGTCCCCGAGTTACGCGGATCCGACTTACGTTGGATCCGCAGTTACGAACGGGGCTTTTCTCGCCCCGGAGGACTGGAGCGGCGGGACGCCCAGATGCGCTGCAATCCCGCCGCCCCCATGCTCCGGGGTGAGAAAAGCTGCTCCCCGTCTCTCTGGTCTGCAGGGAGACCGGGAGCAAAGCTGCGGAGCACGCCCACAGCGAGACAGCCCGGGCGCGCCTGGGCTGTCCCGCTGTGGGCGTGCTCCAAGGCTTTGCTCCCCATCTCCCTGCAGACCAGAGAGACGGGGAGCAGCTTTTCTCGCCCCGGAGGACGGGGGCGGCGGGACTGCAGCGCATCTGGGTGTCTCGCCACTCCAGTCCTCCGGATCCGTGTAACTCGGGGACTGCCTGTATCCCTGTACTTGCGGAAGCCCTACAAGTGAAGTCAGTTGCAAGATTTGGAACTAACATTTATGATAAGAAGAGAGACTTGCCACCAATCAAGTGCAATAGTTATGACTTCTTATAAGAAAGAATGATAAAGAATTGTAAACAGAGTTTCTACATCCAGCCTCTTTCTTGAGCATGACTGGCACAAGTAATGTCAGTACATAGGAGAAAATCCTCCTACACATATTTCCAAAATTCTTACAGGGGCCATAAATCACAGAAATATTTTAAAACTATAATTCTTTGTTAACACTGATTAGAAAAGATCAGTTTCGTGGCAAATGTATGCTCTGCCCCAGGCATCCTGATTCAGCCGCTGCTGAAACTGACCAGCGCTGAATACAGGAAGCCCGAGGCAGAGTTGCTCTGCCCCAGGCTTCCTGGAATCAGCCGCTGATCAGTTTCAGCAGCAGCTCACTTGGGGACGCCTGGGTTTCTTAAGTTGAACCGTTTGTAAGTCAGAACTGGCGTCCAGATTCAGCTGCTGTTGAAACTGATCAGTTTCAGCAGCGGCTGACGCCAGTTCCGACTTACATACAGGTTCAACTTAAGAACAAACCTATAGTCCCTATCTTGTACGTAACCCGGGGACTGCCTGTTCTTCCCTTATCAAGATGAAATAGCTTTCAGAGTGCTCAGATACTCAGGGGATCTGGTTCTGTTCTCTCAGTAGGGCAAATTACTCCACTGAAATCAATGAATGAACTGAAAAGAAAGATGGTGTTGAACAGGTTCTACTGGGATCAGATTCAAACCTTTGGAACATTATAAAAATAATTAGATAGGAGGTAGATGCTGAAGTGCCATTTTCTTAAAGTCCCCTAGATCAGTGTTTTTCAACCAGTGGTACGACTACCCTGGGGGGTACATCAACACAACTGAAATTTGCAGAAAACTGATTTTTTAAGTTTTACAGCGCTTTATTATTTTTGTACTTTTTACACCCAAAAATTTCATCGCCCACCCGGCTACGATTAAGTTGTTTAAACAAATGTGTTGCAATGGTAGAAAAAAATTGTGTGTCTGAAACTGTAAGTATTGGGGTACTTATAATGTTGTGGGGTTTTTTTTTTAAAGGGGGTACTTATAATTTGTTTTTGAAAAAGGGGTACTTTGTTTAAAAAAAAATTGAGAAACACTGCCATAGATAGAATATAAATTAAGCAAACTCGGTGATTGCTCTGGGGAGCTGTATCCTGTGCAGTGTTCCCTGCTGGCACCGAGACCAGTATTTAAAATGTTAATATTAAGGTCATTTACGTGACACACAGACCAGTTTTGTTTAGTTTAATAAGTGCTTTTGTTGGACTATAGGAGCTCTGCAAAGGAAAAATGTTGGTAATATCTTTGTGTATCTAATACAAGTCACTATATCAGATTTTATCGTGCTAGTGTTTAGAATGATTAAATGGGAGAGGTCCATTTAATTAGAATAAAATACGTTTTATATGTAAGCATAATGCACAAAGTGTAAGTGAGGCACTTATGAGAGAAATTCAAGACTATTGTACAATATTTTATATTTAGTGGGCAGGCTTGGAGCTATGGTTGAAATACAGAACTGGGATTTAGAAGATCGGGTTATATTCCCAGCTCTACTAAAGCTGAATAAATCTTTGTCTCGGTTTCCCATCTCTAAATGGGAGCAATAATACTTTCCTCCTTCACAGGGGTCTTATGAGGTTAAATTTAGCAATGTTTGCCAAGTGTTTTGAAACTGTAGATAAACAAAGTAAATACTGGGCATGAAATACTGGGCAGCTTATCTGATGCAAGGAATCTGCTAGTTGTTACTTGTTAGGCTATATCATAGTTTTGATACAGAGTTTTGATACAGATGACACCAGAGTTTTGTTCTGATCTTATTCTAGGTGTATTTTTTATCGCCTTCTTCCTTTCCCCCTCCACTCCTCTCCCATTTCATTCTAGTCACTTCTCCCTTTGCACCATTTGCCAGTAAGCAAATTTCCTAGGAGCTCTGATCAAGCAACTCCATAATTACAAGACTTGGCTGGCTTATTGTAGCTGACTCTCATGCTAAGGAGAAAAGTTTCACTTTCCTTCTGCCTTGTCTCCAGGAGCTACAGGGGTAGAGTCAAAAGTTTGCTCAAGGGTATGAAATTTGGAATATTGCATAAAGTAGACTCAGCAAAACACTGCTGTAACACAACACCAAACCCTGAACTTCTTACAATTGGAGATGGTGCAGCCTAGTGAATAAAGCACTGGGTTGAGACTTAGGATACATGAAGTCTGCTCTCTGCTCTGCCACTGGCCTTCTGGGTAATCTTGGCATCCTCTGTGCCTCAGCTTCCCCTCTGGAAGGAGGGATAATGATTTTTGGAAAGTGGTTGGAGATCTATTTATTTCAGACAGAGGGAATACATGGAGATGTTAAATTATTGATATTAGCAGGGCTATCTGACCCCAAAATTGTGAAGCAACATGGGATTATGTGTATAACTCTCAAACAAGTAGGAGTGATGCCTTTATATTGTACTAACATATGGGTATACATACTGAAAATATTTTAGAAATATTTGAGAGCATTAGAAATGTTGGTTAATTCTGCTTTTTCCACCCTGCTATAGAGACAACATTTCTGTGTGTCGTAAGTCCAATTGTAAAAGACAAGGAAGGAGAGAGGAAAACTGACAAACAATTTAAATGCCTCTGAAGGTTTTAAAAATACCCCAAAATAGTTTTTTCTATATGATATGAAGGAATCTTCTAACGCTAAAAGAGGAGGGATCCTTGGCTCTCTGGGGAGATTTTTTTTTTTTCCTTTCCAGCCCTGATGGGTCATATGCTATTAGTCCTTAAACCTATCACTAGTCTAGGATGGCATTGTCATCTTGGGCCTCAGGTCAGGATAGTATTTGAAGGGTGCAAAGGAGTAAAAGGAAACATGTTATCTGGCAGGTTATATATAAAAAAAGCACCACCACAAAAGTGGACATTGTTTGAAGTTACTAAGTGTTTTGGACAATTAAAAATAATTCTTGCTATGAGGAGGGGAAAGAGACAAAGTGTAAGTGAGGTACATGATAGACATAGTTTGCTACATAGCTGTCTCCCTCTTTTAAGTAACTCAGAAAATGATTCTTAGACAAAAAAATAGAGCAGTATGTACATACACCCAAAAAGCTAAGGACTATAAATTAATTTCCATGCATTATGACCCTTCACAGCCACATGATCAGCAAAAATTTAACCTTAAAAAATAAAATCTAACATTGAATGTTGTTAGAGGCAAGTCTTTAAATTTTAGATATAAAGCAACTAATGATTTCAGGTGCACACACATCCCTTGGTGTAAAGCATTTTCCATGTATACAGGGTGAATGTACGAACACAAGGAATTTGGAACACAAGAAGGGGAAAAGAATATCTTACAGTTATAAGGGCATATAAAATAAGGGACATAGTATCCTTGACAGAACCCATTTAACACACAATTTTTGTGTGAAAGATTTAGATGAATCGTTACACTTTTTCTTTCCCAATAGCAGAAAGCTCTAAAAATGTTTCCAGTCTCATCATTAACAGGAGCAACTAGATTTCATAATATTTTGTTTTAAATAATCAAGTTTATAATTCTGGGAGATTTTCAAGAAACACAAAGGGTGTGTCTAGACTACATGGCTCCGTCGACGGAGCCATGTAGTCTACACACACCCAAACATTTGTTGCTTCAAACTAATGACCTGTTACCTGCCTGTTTAGAGATAAACTCAAGATGGTATTTTTAATTGCAAGTGCTACAAACCTTAGCTGGATTTAATCTATATGATGTCTGCAAATTACTTTCAAAATATTGACCCGAAGTAATTATTTCATTGCTTCACGCTTTGAATGCCCATTAGTGTACTGTATAGTTTTTATTTGTTATTTTATACAAAGTATATGGGCAGGAAGAAACTGGGGAATGAATATTTTTCCCTATAAATTCTGGAAACGTCTTGAATTTTTTTAAAAGCAAGATTTAATCAATTCAGAGAATTAACTAGATCTAATAGTCTGGGTCTAGTGGATGCCTTTGCTTGTCACTCTGTAAACCTTAACAGATTTCCTAGATAAGATGTGGCTGTTCATTTTTCCCCCATGCCCAAAACACGCTTATTTTTACAATTTTCATTGATATTTAATTACATTTTTTTCAGTAAGTCTTTTTTTCTAATAGAAATTTTTAGAAGCATAATCTAAGAAAAAAGTATTATTAGCATACAAATACAAGGCCAGGTGTTCCCAGTGGTGGGAAAACCCATTAGAAATGAAATAAATATGCAGGATGTTGGAGAGTTCACTTTATGGAGTTTTCTCCATATGCTCCCTTCAAGAGAGAAGGGTTCAGGCAATCGTGTAGAAGTTGAGGCTACCTGAGGAAAGGTAAGTTCTGTTATCTCAGAGTATAGGGCAACTTCAGCATTTTGCCCTTGATTCTCTACTAGGGATGTAATAACATACTCAATTAACCAATAAGCAAAAGCTTATAGGTTAATGCTATAGACTACATTCATTTCCCACTGCCCCAGTACATTTTTTTGCAGGCTGGCCAGCAGCCCAGCTAAGTCCTGGCTTGCACCAGGTTTGGGACCTACCCTTGCTGCGGCTCTGCTTTTAAAGTGTATTAGGAGTCGGGTGGGCAGGTAGCCTGGCTCAGTTCTGGCTCACACTGTGTCTGGGAGTCCAGACCACCTCCCCCTACCCCCAGACAGGGGCTGCTGCTACCCCGCACTGCTGCCTCTCTATCTGAGGCAACAGTGCAGGGCAGCAGGCAGCTGGTCTGCGAGGGGAGCTGTTTTTTAAACTGGCTCCTCTTGTGGACCAGCTCTTACCTGGTATTGCACATGGCTGCCTGCAATATAGAGTGGCAGGGGGCTCCTTGGTAGAGGGGCTGGAGTGCACTGGCTGCAAGCCCTATCCCTGGGGGCTGTAGAATGGATGAGTAACCAATAAGAATTCATGAGATTAAATGATTATTTAATTAACTGATATTTAACATCCCTAAACCCTACCATTCAAAGTGGTTCATAAGGTATTGCCTTTCTTTTTCAGAATCTGTGCCCTAGCAACTCCACATGGGGAAGCCATGAAAATTGAGACAAAATTAAAACCACATTAACAAGCCCAAGCTACCATAAGGATGTCATCTGGTAGTCAAGGGAAACATGCTGTATAAAGTACCTTTTCCATATCTCTACCTCCTGCTATCCTGGTACAGCTGCTCCCAACCCCACAGATTCTCCAACTGCACCCGTAGGATCTCAGGAAGAAGCTTGTGGGGATTATGTTACAGAAGCACTGTTCACCCCAATCTTGACAGGTTGTGTGTCTGTCCCATCCCATACCTGTCAACCTCAACGTGGTAGAGCCATGTGGAGAAAGGAAATCATGTTTCAAAAATATTAAAATTGTCCATGAAATATGATTTCATTCCTGTTTGGAAGAAACTCCCCACATTTTGGAATTCTTATTGAAAGAGAAGCCCTAGTTCTGGGGCAATCTGTATGTCAGGGCTTCCCCAGACCTGAGGAACCTGGTAGCCCTAGGGTCTCTAACTCTGAGGCAGTCTACCAGGCAGGTGAGCTGAAGAGAAACCAGGCAGAGTTCCAATGGAACTTTTATCAGCATGGAATTATCTTCATAAAATGTTTCAGTTTCAGTGAACTGGCGAATTCTAATGGGGGGAAAACATCTCTCGTTAGAATTTTTCTGAACCAGCTGCATTTGAAAGCTACAACATTTCAAGATTTTATGTAAATGAGCCCATGCTCAAATTTACATCTTTGGTTAATACATATTGCCATATTTACAAAAATGATAGCAGATGTTCTAATTATTACAATTTCTACCTGACAAGGTGAAAGCACGAACTAAGCTTTTTAGAAACAAGGGAGTTGCTGTGTGCCCAAGGAGCCTTGTCATTGCCCTGGGCTGATGTCCAGGTAACTTGAGCGGCTTCTTTGAGACTCTGGCCTAGTTCCTTCTCTTGGACTAGGTGAAGTGCTGTGGATAGGTTGCTGGATGCCTTAGGCCTGACTGCGGCTTTTTCTGAACCAGTCAGGGAATATGGCTGAGCTGTTGGCCCTTAGCTGTGTCCCCTTCTCGGATAGCTCTCTACTGCTTGCTCCCTGGCTGATAGGAGGGATTCTGACTGTGGTTGCCCCATGGGAGCACACTGAGCCCTATGACAGACAGCCAGGCTGCACTACTGGCTCCCCAGTCACAGGGCTCCTCTGCCACTCTGCATCTTCCCCTGTCTGTGCTTCTCCCCCTCCCACCATCTTTCCCTGATCCTGAGCGCCACCCAGGTAGAAGAAGCGTAGACGCTGGTACACTCATGTGGGGCTGAGTAGGGAACTCAGCTGCTTCTGAATCCCAGCCTGCAGTGCCAACTGCTGGATCTGGAGCCCAAACTGCGCTTTGTTCAGAGTTACAAACATTTCAGCATCACAGACAACCTCTATACCTGAGGTATTGGTAACTCTGAGATTCAACTGTATTTGCACTTGCTATGGAGCGAGGTGTTTGGCTTTATTTGTGCTTGGTTTCTATAACTGCTGACACAGAAATTATTCTATGCAAGGTTAAGTCTGCCTACTTATGCCTTGAATGCTATTGGCTTTGCATCCTAGAAAGGGTCTATATTTCAGCAAGTTATCATCTTCTACTGAAGAAAAAAAATGTTATGAAAATGTTTGTAATAAATCTTATGGTGGCAGTTAAACTGTCCAGTACATTTTAAAGGATTAAGTTTTACTTGGCACACAATGCTTATAGAAAGAGTATAAGTAACAGGAGATCCCTTGAATTCTACTTGCTTATGTGTATCACACAAACTCACTCTTTTTCTTTCTTTCTTTCTTTTTCTTTCTTTCTTTCTTTCTTTCTTTTTTTTATAGGCAAAAATTGGGTCTGGAAAACTTATGGGACCAAAAGGTGTTTCCGTGGATCGTAATGGGCACATTATTGTTGTGGACAACAAAGCATGTTGTGTATTTATCTTCCAGCCAAATGGCAAAATAGTAACCAGGTTTGGTAGCCGAGGAAATGGGGACAAGCAGTTTGCAGGTACACTTGATGGTAATATGTAAATCCCCTTTTCTTGCATCTTCTGCTCACATTTGCATGATGTTTGAGCATGTTGAAGACACTAGTTATGAATTATTTTTCCTTTCCATTTAAAAATGAATGGGAACAAATCCGAAGTATGATCTTCAGCTTTCAGCAGTGGCACTGGAAAAGGTCTTTCTTGAGACTTTTTTTCTGGACGTTGTTCAGAAATTAATCATGCTAATTTTCTTATTTGTTGCTACATTCTAGAAACTTCAGTCTTCTTAGGTTCACCTTTGAAAGACAACTCTGAGATATTACTTTTATACCTTGTTGAGTTCACATTTCACATAATATTACTCTGCAGTTAATCAGTCAGGAAGATTTAAACAATTTGTTCTTCCCCAATAACCATAACTAATTCTTATTAGCTACCTCTCTTTGCCTAGCTATGTTTCAGACTAATGACCTAGGGAAGATAGATCATAATTGATTAATACCATATAATGTCTGCACTCAACAGCTGATCATAACACTTTTACAGCACTTTATAATCTTCAAAGAACCATTAACTAAACCCATTTAGATAATAAAATACATTTTTCCCCTTTCCTGACATCTTTGAAAGTGGGCAAAGAGACTTTATTTGCAAATTTAGGTATGGATAGTCATAAGTAGAAATGGCTACTTCAGGAAAATAGCCATTATCCAGTGTGCACATTTAATTGTGAAAATTAGGCATATCCTTTTGTGCATACCTAATTTTGAGATGCTGAGTGACTTGCCTAGATCACTTCGCAAGCATTCAGTCACTTTGAATAATGTCCCCAGCCTGGTGCTCTCATAAGTGTGCAGAATGGGAGGAATACTTCCTTAAATTGTACACGGTTATAATCTGTCAAAAATTACTTCTAGTAGAAGTAGGTAGCTGAATGTGTTTTGGGTCTATTAGATCCCTTATTCTAATAGTGCTTTATGGTACATGTGTAACTGTGCATATTACTTACTGGAATTTTGGCTACAGCAATGATAATTAATTGTTCCCAAAACTTTCTGGGTATGTTGTTTTCCTTTTTCTTTTTAAAACTTGTAGGTATGAATTCCCGAGGACAGCTGAACAAGTAATCTCTAACAATGTATTTGATCAGTTTATTTTCTCTTTCTGATGCTGAAATAACAATAGCAGATCACAAGTTACTTAAATTTAGTTATTTGAATGTATGCATTGTATGTATTTTCACATTTTATGAAATGATAACAAAACTGAAACTTTGTCTTGTGTTGACTGTAATTACTAAGGTAAATTTTATGGCAATGAGATCTTCTAATCCAAATACTAGTGTGTTTTGGATTTTAAAAATTGGTTTCTACCAAAACTTGGATGTGCAATTTTGATATATGGAGCTGGGTAAAAAATGCTTTTTTCTGCTAATATTTGTCCACTTAAGTGAATTTGCTTTATGGTAGTATCAGTTTTGTGTTTGTTCTAAAACTTGGTGACTCAAATATTTGTATATTTCATTTAAAAATATGCATCAGTATTTCAGAAAATCTGCTCTATCCCTGAACATTAGTATCCTTAAGTACCAATGTTAGTTAATAATCAGTGCATAAATGGGGAGGGGACAATAGGCATTACAGATAGACAACTATAACAGATGAGTGGATAGAAGACAGAGTATATGCTTGTTTAAACAAACATGCCATCTTACTGGAAAATGGAGTGGAAAAGATTCTTAATTCTAAATTGTTGCCCCGCCCCCCAATCCATGATTAGTGATTTCTCAGATGTCAACCTTTAATTTTCTTTAGAGAATGCAATGGATTTTTGTCATTACATACGCTATTAATTAAAAAATGTTTACTTTTGAAGTCTATTTCTTATTATTTTATTTATTTTCCCTCTTCTTTATTGCAGGTCCTCACTTTGCAGCTGTAAACAGTAATAATGAAATTATTGTTACAGATTTCCATAACCATTCTGTTAAGGTACTGTCAATTAATGCCACTTTGCTATTCTGGCGGTTTGTATTAGCTTTTAGCATCATGCTTTCTAAACTAAAATTAAGACCTACTGTAATATGATGAAGTTGTTGGTCCAAGGTCTTATTCACAAACTTGGCTAAGAAAGAAAGGCTTCATTAAGAACTGGGAATGCAGATATTTAACAAGGAATTTCTTAATGTAGCTATTGTTTGATTTCTTGGGTGGGATAATTTTTTTTTCTAATGAAATAACATTTAAATGCAAGTTGTAACTGAAATATTTAAAAAAATCGAATGGAGTTCTGTTATTTTGCCCTCCTGCCAAATAATCTCTTACAGTGTATTCTATTATTTATTTTGTGAAAGACTTTTTCCCTACCTTTTGAGAGTCTCCGTAAATGTTTCCCTCACTTCTAGCTTAAAACTAGTACAACAAAGAATAGTAAAAGGAGGGCACATGTTAAATGTACATCTACACTGTCACAGATATATAGGTTTTAAAACAGGATGGACCATTTGTGACTCTCTCATCTTAACCCCTGCATAACACATAGAATTTCACTCAGTAATTCCTACATTGAGCTAGGGATGTGAACAGGTAGACCAGCATGGAGCTGGAAATAGCCAGGCTGGAACCGCCCCGTGTGCCATGTGGAGGCCACTCCAGCCCAACTGCCCCTCTGCTGCTGTCTAATCAGTTAAGTAGTTAAACTTAACATTTAATTGATTAACTAATTGAACGGCATTTTACATTGAGCGGGATTAGTAACTGGGCTTAGATATCTATATTAGCCATAAGAAGAGTCCAGGGGAGGCAGACTTGTATAATTTCTGGTGATACCTAGAATGGGTCCAAGTCCCGCTGCTACTCCCTCCCTCCCTTGTAACAGGTGAAAACTCTGACTCTGGGGGTAGTGCTGAGGAATAGGGTTTTGGGAAGGGATCAGGGCAAAGGCAGAGGGTTGAGTTCACAGGTGGGAAGGGTTTCGGCTTGGGTTGCAGGCTCTGTAGTGGGGCCGAGCCAGGGATGAGGACTCCATCTCCCCTTCTCGGCACTCACCCAAGATCCAGAAGAAAGTCCACTATGAGTCACTGTGACTAGTGAGGGGGAGGCTGCCATGCACCTCCTCTTTTCCTCCTCCCGCAGATGCAGCTGTCAGCCAGTTGCTAGTGCCACTCCCTTATAGCCAGCCTGCTGTGGCAGCACCTGGCGAGGGAGAGCAGGGAGCCCAGGGCACATGTCAGGTAAGACAATCAGTGGAAGTGGGCTAGCTGGCAGGGGAGGTTTCAGGGGTGGCTGGCAGGGTGGGGAAAGAGACCCAGCCCTGACATGAGTGGAGCATGGGCACCCTGATCCCGTAGAACTCGCCACCCTGGAAGAGTCCTAGTTCATAACTAATTAAAAAATCCTATGAGAAGTCACTCATAATTCTGTTGCCTCAGGTTAGTAACATACAGGGCCGGAATGATGATTATCACCCATCATTAGATAGGTGTATGATTGTGGGAGGCTGCTGAGTTTGGAAGAAGTTATTCATCTGCATAATGGTTTTTATGGAGTTCAAGCTTCATCTCCAATTTAGAATGCTTGTTTTTCCTTATGTCCTGCAAAAAGCATAAGCCAAACACACCCCATCACTCCCATTATGCTTAAAGAAATTCTCAGATGTATACAATTAAATATATTGGGTGAAATCCTGATGCCAGTGAAGTCAATGGAAGTTTTGACATTGACTTTTAATGCATCTGGGATTTCACCTATTGAGTTTCTGTTCTGCTGAACATTAAGATTTAATTATTTTGATGAACATTCACATTGTACAGCCACAAATCTTAACATTTACTTAAAATACATCACTATCTGATTATTGTTACATGAATAATAAAAGAACTGCAATTTACTCTTTTTAACTTGGTACTAAATCTCTACCTTTTTGAATTGTGACCTTTCTTTCATCTGTTTTTCTGGAATTAGAGAGGCAACAGCAACTCATGTGGTTTAGATTACAAAAGGGGGGAAAAAAACACGGCAGAG